GAGGGATGGGGCAGCCACAGCTCCTCTGGGCAACCTGTGCCAGAGCCTCAGCACCCTCACAGGGAAGAACTTCTTCCTTATAGCTGATCTAAATCTCCCCTGTCAGGTTAAAGCCATTCCCCCTTTTCCTGTCACTACTTGCTCTTCTTGATCTCTGTTTTGTCTGTACCTCTGTTTTGTGCACATTCATTCACTAAAGGTGGAACTTATCTTCCTTAAAATGACAGGTCTGCAAAATATATTCCAACAACAGACTTGATCACTCAACCCTTTCCTTACACTCAAGGAAAACAGATACTCATAAGCCTTAAGTCACACAACTTATTATATGTGTCCTGTAGAAAAAGGAAGCAGAGATACATAAGAGTCCAAAGTAGTTACTCAAGTTAAAGAAGTATTTAGTCTCAGCACGTCTTACATTTGAATGCCCAATTAAAAAGAAAGAAATTAATACTTTAAAATCTTCTCTGTAATCAAATTATAGACAAGAAAAGCTAAAACAATAACTTGTGTCAAGATATAATTACAACAAAACTGTACTTGACCTGTTAATTGCTTTTGTGGGCAGGACTGACAACTGACCACAGCAAGTAGTTTCTATGCTGGAAGGGACCTCAGTAATGGTTTCAAGTTCAGTGATAAATTATATGAACTTATTTTCTTCAACATTAAAGTAACATAGGAATGCATTTAAATAGAAATTACCTCTTTACTAAACAGGCAATTCCCATTGAAGGAAGGGCAGTAATAGTACTGCCTTAAGTGTACTACAATAAAAAAGTAACTGTATGAACAATAACAAGAATACCTGTGGCAGAAAATCTTGGTTTATAATAGTCCTTCTTTCAATTTTATCTGACCTGTTCCAATTATTACTAATCACAAAGTTCATGAGAATTGCAATCTAGTCAGTGTTTTGGAATTACATCTCATCATGTAGGTGTTCTCTCATATAAAGCACTATCAACGTCGCTGCTATTCCCCACGATAAAGCTGCTATAGAGAAAAAAAAAGACACTACAGAAAAGCAAGCATAAAATTAATTCAATTAGTATTGCAGAAACTAATGTTGCATTTTCAGACATGGTTGTTCTATTGGATGAAGCTATGCAACTCAGTACACAGACTGAATTGAAAAGGGAAGCAAGGTAGAAGAAAACTCTACATTCCATGTTGTGGAGAGTTTTTTGGTATAGTTTAAATTTCAGTTAAGCAACTTGTAATTTAAATGCAAGTCTGGGTTTGGATAGAATAAAATGTAAAACAGAACAATCTAAATGTGGGAATACTACTTTATTAAGAGCTCAAACTTGCTAAAAAAAAAAAAAAATAAATAAAAAAAGGCAATTAATGAGTCCTCCAGTCTCAGTCTTAACACCAAGAACCTTATTGCATTTGTAGCATTTTGAAGATACCGAAGTTTGTGTGCATGTGTATTTTTTATCCCCTCCTCTGTAAAAAGAGGAAACTTATAATTTGCCTTCTACGCATTTAAGAAGTATGGTACCTTAATGACACTAGCTGTAGATATCAGTGTGTTTGGATCCAGCACTTCCACAACAGCTTCTGGAATTACAGCCTTCTTCATGCAAGACATATCAAAGCCATATACATCTTCCCAGAAAAGTAGCTTGTCCGCATGTTTTTTCGTATCTCCAACAGCTACTAGACTAAGGGTGCACATGTCAGGATAAACTGCAACAAAGAACATCAAACAGTAAGAGAAGCCGAATTTATATTTAGCTAGCTTCTTTCCACAAAGAAATACCAATGTTTTGGGTTTAGAGTTTTAAAGCCTCTAAAAGCCACATACATTGAATTCTTGAGCCGGCTTCAGAGCAAAATGCCTACTAATAAACACTTTATTTTTTTTATTGATACATGAATGTGTCAGTGTTAATAAAATTGAAGCTAAGTTTCTCTTCTTCTCCCCCAAATCTGATGAACTGTAAAATTAATCTTGTCTTCAGCACTGCTTGAAATTGTAGCTTATCAAAATGAGTATGGAGAAATCATTGGTATAGCACAGTAAGTCAGAAAAACAGTATTTTTTTGCCTTGTAAAATACTGAAATAGAAGCAGAAAACTGAAATTAGAACTTTCATTTAGTGAGAGTAGATTTAGGAAATAACATCACATATTAATGATAAAGAAGAGTCTTGTCTAAAGAAGCTGTTTTCTTTTCATCTGAAGACGTTGAAGTAAGAAATCTACATTTAGAATGACTAGTTTATACAAAATATGAACACAGTCATTTTTCACACTTTCTGTTTAAAACAGAATAAATAAATACTAGCAAGCTTAAATGGGAATCCCGTTGGTAAGCTACCAGCACCGTTACTTTGCAGACAAGGGATTCAGAGCAGGTTTCTCCAGGAAGAGCCTACAATTAACTTAGCAATAAAAAGGCAGTCTGATGAGAATGGAAACAGGAAGGCATTCAGACTGCCTTGTCTGAAACAAATAATTTGGTTCCAGCACACCTGACAGTTGCCACACACACAAAGATTCAATATCTGATGGTAGGAGTATTTGCAAGTGATTTCTGGAGCCATCAATAAGGAATTCCCATTTCATTTGATGTTGCTGGTTTACTAGTGTGACAACTGCATTCAATTTGGCTTTACCTCCCAGCATCTCAAACCTTCAAGAGCCACCACTGATGCTCCAAAAATTCAAAGACAACGTGAAGCAAGACAACAAAGCAAGACTACAAGCCTATGAGGGAATATTTTTCAGGGAAAGGCTCTTCAAGAGGATTCCAGAGGTTTGGTGAGAAGAGCAAGGCAAAGAGACTGGAAGTCCCTAGTTATAGCATACACTTACAGGAGCATGCTAGCATCACTGCAAATGAAAAGAAAACCACAGCAAAAATAATCAACTACTTTATAACCTTCCCAGCTCTCACTGGCCCACATTTCTGGGACATTCTGTTAAGAGGAAAAAGTTTACCACGTCTATCAAACATGAAATACTTCAGTGGTACAATAATAATCTTTAATTAAATCTCTTGGTCCGCACAGCAAATCTTTTACATCAGCAGTGGAACTCATGATTGATTACGTACCAAATATCATTATATATATTATATACAAAGCGCTTAACAATAAGCAAAAATGTAAACACTAATGCTCTAATCTAAGCTGCATTTTTAGTTTAGCCCATTAAAATAACAACAGAGAAGTGGACATTGCCTGTTCAGAATCCACAAGAAGAAATCTGTGTTCCACCAACAGCACAGCCAAGAGACTACACTGATACATTAACTTCCAAATTTACCTAACTTACGTCCAGAAGCATATGCTATATTGAGCTTTGAGTGCAAACATAAGCATTTTATCTAAATATCAGCCTAAATCATATAAACACTGTAGAGTTTTGAAAATGTTTAAAAGCATCTGCTTAAAAAACTGCATTTGCCATTTCACCCACTATCCTTCACCCTCTTGGAAATCTTCTGCTCTTTCTGCTACACTTGCCTGTGCAATCCTGACAGACTTATTATTTTTTAACTCATTAAGCCTATAATTTAATAATTATTCCTTCCCACAGGTGAAATGAACAAAATGCCAATTGGACAAAAAGCGCACAGTCCTCAATGCTCTCACAGATTCATCATTTTGACCATCTGTGTCCTTCTCGAATCAGTGCCCAGAAGTCATCTGTCACTAGGAACAGCTCACGTGGTGAACAGAATACAATGGGAAATCCTTTATCCCTTAGCAATGCCTCACAAACTTCACGATGCTGAAGGGTAAGGCAGCAATCCTACAGGGATATGGAAATGATTCCAAGTGAATACCAGCATCATTTCAACGTGACCAAGCAAACAGCATTACGTTTTGAATGACGCCTTCCTTACCTATGTCATCCCTCACTAACGTGCCCTGCGCTTAAGTGTACGCAAAAATCTATACTCCAGCAAGTAACAGCTCTAAAGAACAAACAGATGTGTCCTGCATAGCAAGAATTTTGTTCCCAAATAAAGCTACTATACGCTGTACACATCATCCTAGACAGTTTGGCATCATTCACTTCAGCTGGCCAATGGGCTAAATTGAAGTAACGGCGACACGACTGACTGAACACAAAGTTACACATTTGGATTCTATTCCCAGCTCAATCACTCAGAGATCTGGCAATATCACAGCTGCTTCTATTGCTTTTTTTTAGCTTTCAAACAGTCCCAGTAATAATCATCTCGGCTCAATAGTACGAAGTAGCTCAAGACAAAGTTAAGCTTTATGGCAGACTCAGGAGTTTCTCTGGTAAGGCTTCACCTGGGAATGAGCTCTTAGTTCTGGCTCACCTAAACGTGGATATGCTGACAGTTCTGCTGGTATTCATCCACACTGCAGAAGTGTCTGTCTTGCTAAACTAATTGCTGAGCAACTTTCTCAGTAATCTTAGGCACAGCCATTTACCTGCTATACAAGCTGGCAGGGGACCAGTAATTGTGGGCATCTTAAGGAAACAGCATTCCATTTAAAATCTGGCCATACCAACCTGTGACTGTACAACACTGTATCCTTTGAAGAGTCAAATAACATTCCCAAAGCACAAAGGAGATGTGTACTGCAGAATCAGCACACCCTGTCTTTCAACGGAAACTTTGGGAGGCAAAAGCCACTAGCGAGCTTACCAACAATACAAATAGAAAACAAGATACTACTGCAGTTTCAGTAGAGGTCACAAATCTCTGGCCCTTTCCCTGAAAGCTCTGGAAATAATAGCTAAACATAAAAAGATTCCTTACAATTTTAGGGAATGTCCCCAGACTTAATCATACTGCAATGTAAAATTATCAGCATATATTCATACAGAGCATAGAACAACTGTGTTCCAGATCTGCTGACTATTCTAAATTGCCAAAACCAAAAAAAGCTCTTATTCTGTCATGCTGTCAAGCGGCTTCTAAATTTTTCAGCACATGAACAGTAATCTCTTGCTGGTATATTCAGCTTTGTGACCAAACGTTGAACCATCGCATAAACCCCCTTTTTTTCTGCTTCACTCTGCAGCATACAAAAGCTCACTGCAATCAGAGAAGCACTGCAGTGAGCACTGTTACATAGTCATTAATCCAATCATTAAGTCAGTGTAGTGAAACTAACTATGTGCATGGTTAGCACAAAAGGGGGAAAAAACCCCCCAGACTAATGACTACAATTGAAAAGGTCAATATGAAATACAATTCTGACAAAGGAATAGAGCACAAGGAATAAAGCATGTGCAGAACTGGTGCAGAAAATGGCATCACATGAGGAATAAATTACAGGCATTTAAACACTGCTTAAGATGACACTATATAAGCTACTTAGAAGGATAAAAGAACTGTACTTCAAAACAAAACTTTTATGTTCTGTCCCTTCCCTATCATCCAATCACAAAGAAAATTAGTATATTCCCACCAGGATAAAAAAATGCTGAATTGAAACAATCTAATTCCTTTAGTTATTTCATGTGGCTTCTGTTGCTTGAAACTATGTTCTCCCTGTGCAACTTCCACCTCCAAAAAAAACATCCTATCCACTCTTCTTATAATTCACAATAGTTTACTCAAACAGTGTCACATCCTACAGAATAGAACTTATTTCCCTCTGTTTCTAGTTATGCAGAAACTGGGATTTTGAAAGGTGAAAACAAATGCCCACATGTGTGGGAAGAAGTAGGGAGGAAAAATTTAGACTATACTTAAGAATAAATAACCCCTTCTATTCTTAGAAACACCATTAACTTGAGACCTTGATACCCCATCTAATGTTCTTCTATTACCCATACAGTAAATTAATGCCTTGAAGCTCATACTAATGAAAACATTTTTCATTTAGACTGGCAACTTTCTCATCCATGCATAGCTTATTCTATGTCTCAGAGTTCATTTAGTTTCCCCCCAGAGCAAAATTTATTAAAAGAATTATGCACACCAACCTGAGCCTCCCTCTGCCAGGTACTTGTCCTTTGCATAGATGACAGAATCCAGCATTGACTCAAAGAGAAGGAAATAACCCTGTTTACAGAAAATGGAAAGATTTCAGAAATCATCACGCCTCTTCTGTAGCCTATTTAATCAACCTACATATAGACTTAATCAAAATATTTAAGAACTTCATATTGCCCATGTACCTCAAAAAGAGCCAGCACCCAGAGAGAGTTTCTCTAAACTTAAGCTACATGAAGTATCATCTTTCATTTCCCAAACTGCAAGTATCTATAACCTACTAAATTAATAAACTCCAGGCAATAAATAGCCAATCTACACCAACAATTACCCTATTGTCCTACATCATCAAAAGAAATCGAATTGAACTCAAAGTGAAAAGCTGTATGGATTGATTTTTTAGTAATAACTCATACAAAGACAATTCCCAAACCCCAAGAAAATCCCTTCCCACTTTGAACTGCCAGTAACATTAAAATTGTCAGAGAAACACCAAGTGGAATGCATCTTTGCTGCTTCACATTTGCAATCTCATGGTACCCTGTGGCAGCTGGGGCAATGCTCACTAACACAGGCAGATATAAATCATACACGAAAGACATGGGTTCTCCAGATGTTCTGCATCATTTAGCAGCACCTGAACTTAAAGAATTCTCAGGATAAAAATGGCCAGAACTAGATTTACATAGTTATTTTGGTGTTAATTTTATAGCAGGTTAATCATACTGCTATACATGTTTAGAATAACTTATTTTAAACTTGAGTTAGCCATTTTCTGAAACAGAAAATAGTATTTCTTAATTCAACATTTCCAAGACAAACCCAGCCATATAGCAGTATTAGATACAAGTGGCATCTTATACAGAACATACTTTACCTCAAGTACCTTTAAGAAAACTGCAGATTTCCAAGAGATATATAAGCCCTTTGTTTTTCACTTGGATTTACTTTCTTTACACCCTCCTATCTTCCAAGTTTGAGAACGATTCTCATATACTTACAAATACAACAACACATTCTTACAACATGACATCAATTAAGACAAATGATACTGGCACAGATTTTGGATTTCCACTTAGCATCCTAATTCTCATTTTTATTAAAACGCAGCTTAGCCATACGGTTTGATTTATACACTCATTGCCAGTAAGAAAGAAGAAAAAAATACAATTGCAAGTCCAGAATTTGGACCCGCAGCCCTACAAGCCCAGTCAGCAGTAACCAACCATATTTTTACAATCAAAGGGATTATTTTTTCTTTTTGAAGGGAGACCTTATCGCAGCCTTTAAGTACCTAAAGGGGACAAAAAGAAACCTGGAGAGGGGCTTCTTGGAAGGGCATGTAGGGACATGAAAAGGGGGAATGGCTTTAAAATGACAGAGGGGAGACTGAGATGAGATCTTAGGCAGAAGTTCTTCCCCGTGAGGGTGCTGAGGTGCTGGCACAGGGTGCCCAGAGAAGCTGTGGCTGCCCCACCCCTGGCAGTGTTCAAGGCCAGGTTGGACAGGGATTGGAGCAGCCTGGTCTAGTGGAAGGTGTCCCTGCCCATGGCAGGGGGTTGGAACTGGATGAGCTTTAAGGTCCCTTCCAGCCAAAACCATTCTGTGATTCTACAATCATGCCTCTCTACTGAGGATAGACATCATTGCATAGGAACTGTACGGTTAAGAACACCAAATTTACTCTAAGTTTATGCCATCTTGAATGTTTACTTTGCCTAAAGCTCTTAGAACAAAATATTCTGCAAGTTCAGAATTACTTGAAAATGTCACCATCCACATTACAGCCTAAAAAGAAAACTAAACTAAAACCAGAATTAGAACACAAGAAACTTGAAGCACAATGTATCTGCATTCAACAAGAACATAGCCTGAAGAAAATGGAAATGTCCTCTTCTCAACCTGTTTCTTCCGGTAACAGGACAGTGCACTACTGGACTTTTTTCTTCCAAATCTTGTTTGTTCTTCCACTTTACTGCTTATTTTTTAGCATGCCCTTAGAATAAGTCCCAGAACAAAGACTACTGCTCTGTGAACAGTATTCTTAGTAAGCATTTGCAAAATGGTTGCAAAGGCCAGGAGCTCCAATTGCACCAGGCACACTTTATGCTCACAGCATAGAGCACAGAATAGGACCACAGCTCTATTATTTTACTCTTATTCTTACAGTTTTAAAAATAGATTATAAAAAAATCTTTTCAGATGCTTTTAACTGAAAATTAGTTGGTTTTGCTGTATTTTATATGTAACCTCTAGGACACATCTGTCCTAGAGGTCACCAGCTGTCACCAAAAGCCATTAAGTTACAAATCAACATTTTTATGGATCAGCTCTTCCTGGCTAAAATGCCCATCACCTACATCTGCCAAACAAGTGCAAGAAGTACAGCTGGAAAACATGCTTTTTCATGAGAAATACAGTAAATTGTCACTGTCCTTTCCCCGACCTTTCCAATCCCAGTTCTATCTTCCCCCCAATTCATTATAGTATTACTGCAAGTTACAATAAGCCGTCAATGGTACTGAATTAATTCATTTATCACTTTTACCAAAGCGTTTTGCTCAGTGTGCTGTGCTCATCTGCAGTGTAATTTAGAACGTAATTTCACAGCCTGCTGCCTCACCTGTAGGGGTGCCATCTGGAAAGAGAATTATACCTGACGTCTCTTCCCCGTGATGCTGTGGGGCACTCTTGCTTCTACCCCAATAACATTCAGGGGCTTGTTTTTTCTTAAGCATGTATGAGCATCCTCAAAATTAATTACTGCAAAGAGATCTCTGGGATACAAACCTGTGAGCAGCATATTAATATTTCAGTCTTGGTAGTGGTTAAACTAAAATACAGAAAAGCTGACACGTTCTCTGTTTAAAGACAAACTGAATACAGAGCACATCTTAAGTGTTATGCTGTCATATGCATTTTCTGCTAAAAAGCTGGCCATTTCTCTTTCTCAAAATGAACATGAAGTTCCTTATTTTTATATTTTCAAAGCTGAAAAGAAATGGTTGTTCTCCAGCTAACAACAAACATATATAAAGAGATTTGGACAGAACAGAAACACACAGCACCATGGAGTTATTCCATTCAAGCATACATCTGTCCGACATCATGTTCATCCAAGAAAAGTCAGCTATCAAAATGCATGAGCCCACTGAGAAACTGAATCCAGAAGAACATGAATATCCTTTATATCTGTATTTTGAGATTAACATAATTGTAAAAGGCTCACAAGACTTTAGTGGCTTAATATCTCCCATTGATAAATTTTCCTCTATTACTCAAATACATTACAGCACTCATACTTATTTTAAAAGCTACATAAAAATCTTTTAACAATTAATTGAAATATAAGCATAGGAAGTTCCTTTTACATTAGTGCTTAAGTTCATCATGATATTCTTCATGGAGAAAAAGAGATTAAGCTCTTTAAAAGCATCAAGACACAAGAACACTGAATCCTAAAGTATACGACACTATGCAGAGAATACTAAAGGAAATTGCTTTGTTTAAAACAAATTATTTGAGATTAAAAATGGCTCTTCTAGTTCCTTTACCTGTTCCTATCAAATACCGTAGTGGAACTTGGGTTTTCCTTCACTTACTTTCTACTTATTGGTGAAAGCCATATAGAGTTCAAAAAGTGGTATTACCATGCTTACAATAGCAAGAAATAGCAGAATTTTTCGTACAATGGAGAAAACTTGTAAGGTTAGAATTAAGAAGTAGTATTTACTTGAATAAGCATTGAGCTTTCCCCTGTCTTTCATCAAAGATCCCTTTCATTATTTGCTGTAACATAACTGAACTGGTCTGGTCCACCACATTCAGTAAGGCCCAACACTTGAATATTTAAAGAGATAAAAGGCAGCTATTAAATCTCTGGCCCAGATAACGGACTTATTTTGCTTTCAGTTCCTATCAATACAAAAAAGTGCATTATTTTCTTAAGCTGAAGTTCTTAACTGCAAGGTGTTCATTGGACTGCAAAGTAAAACATGTTACAGAGGATATTGTAAAATAGATTGGACAATGCATTCTGACTTAATATATAAAAATCTATTAACAGATGCACAAAACTGATGCTGCCCACTCAATCCTATGAAAAATTACTTTTTATTTGACAAAATCATGCCCCCCCCCCGCCCAAAACCCATGGCACATTTAAATGAGAAGCGGCACCTACGTGTAAACTCTTCTGTGTACTGTGGTGCAGCACCATTTCCCTCATGCTAAGCCAGCCTTCATGCTGATCTCTCATGTATGATTTAATTAAAAAAGAAAAAAAGAAAAATAATTCATTGCTGACAGAGCAAGCCCACACATTTCAAAACCACAGCTTGACTTTGTTATTATGCACACCCTGTTGTGCTCTTAACTATGAGTGAGAACATCAAATGGGAAGATCTGAAGAACAGAAAAGTAATACCCATTATCAGTGTTGGGAAAAAAATAATTAATGCAAGAACCAATTCCTTGATAAAACCCAATTTGATGTAAAGAAATTAAAGCATTCAGCTACCTTATATGCTTTTTACAGAGCGTTGTTAAAAATACAAAAAAGCAAAGCTCCATTTTTACATGAAATTTTAAATTATTACTGTTACAGAACACTTACATTAATGCACCTCCAAATACTAACAGAAACAATAGAGAATATTAGGACTACATACAGATTAATAAGAGTTTAAAGAAAGCCAGAACTGTGTATCTGTCTGGGAAAAGGAGGAAGGAGAGAAGAGATGGTTGCAGTGTTTCAGACATGCTCGCTTCCTAGTCCTTTTCCCTAGATTCTGAATAACTCTCATTCACAGCCCATCCTGGTACCACATGAGAATTATCCAACACAAAAAAAAAAAAAAAAAAAAAAAAAGGAAGGAAGGAAAAAGAAATAAATTAGCTGCCTGAGCAATGATATGTTTAGGAGACAAGAGTACTGGATTGTAACATGGTTTATTTTAACTTGGAGTCCACCTCTTTTTCTTGTGTAAAACTCTACTGCATATTGAGTATGATAAAGCACTGCATAAAACAGCAATTTATGAGTATGCACAGTACTCAAAAAACATATTTGAGACAACTATCTCAGACAATTGTTTCTCAAAGTAATACCCCTTAGAAACAAGAAATGGAGGTATTTTTCAAAAGAATTAAACTCAGCCTCTAGCTTTAGAGTCGTAGCTAGAGAAAGGAAGGGAAAGCATACAGAGAAAAAACCCTGCAACACAGATGCAGCTGGGTAAGAACATTCCAGAAAAGCATGACATCCATTTTGTTTTTTTCTGCAGTCACCCTTTCAATAAGCAGTCCGTGAAGTTTACGATTACATTACCAAAATCCATGTGCAATAACACAGCTACCTTGGCACGTTTATAGCAAATATTTTCCTGCCCAGCATTCAATGTAACCAAAAACTAACTTCAGCACTTTGCAGAGCAGCTCTGACTCCAAACTTCCATGCTGTAAGTAAAATTACTCCAAATACAGTAAACATTATTGTTTCTTAAAATTTGGTATCCCTAGGGAGAATGTGTAAGTGTGATCCTGACTGAGAGCAAGTCTTTGGCATATACATCTTCTCAGGACCTTCCCATCATCAGTACAAACAGTAAGCACATCCAAGCCAAAATCCTAAACCCCTGATGAAATCTGAGCATTTGCAAACTGTTTTCAGGTCAAGTCACTTGACAAGGGGTTTCATCCATTACAATAAGGTGCAAAGGAATCACTGATGTGTGTTCAGAAATTATTTGCAGCTGAGATTGCCATGAGCCAGTGTACACAAATAGTTGTACCTTTGCTTAGAAACATCATTCACGTTAAGTCTGCAGTTTGAATAAGAAAATAAGATATTTGCTTGCATATGCTCTACAAGCAGACAAGTAGAAAAATGCTAAAGGCTGGTACCTGTAACCACTAACAATAATTCATAGTTCAGCAAACTAAGGCTTTCAAAAGTTTCACACATCAGAGCTCCAGGCAACCAAGCAGGATGGTGCACCAGAAGCTTACAGCCCTGCTATAAGGTATCAAACAACCTTGTACAGGGAAACCTCTACAAAACAAGGCCAGCAGTGAGATCTTATATAAAATTCACCTATTCTTGCATTCAGACAACCTTTCTTGAAGAACTGGAAGATTTCTACTTACAGAATCAGTTTGGTTAGGAGAACAGGCTATTACTTGGCCATTCTTGTGTTCTTTCTGAAGGCAATGTGATTCACTGGGTGAAGCTGCTCTTTGGTCTGCCTGCTCTGCTGTGTGCTGCTGGTTCACAGCACACAAGAAGTCCTTGTGCCAGGCTGTGCACTTCACCAATGTTTTGCTGCAAGGAATGCATGGCTGCCTTTGGGGCAAAAAAGTCTAAATAGGTGGCTTTACCTGGGTCTTTGGTAGTCCAACAGGCCCTCAAACTTCAGCAATCTACCTTTTGGACATCAACAGAACAGCTCACAGATCGTCACACCTTCCACTGTCTTTCTCAATAGCTTAAACCACAACATTCACATACTGGTTTTACCCATACACAATCACACAGATCTCCTGCTTATTGTCCAATTTTAGTAGCACCAAATGCACATACTTCAGTTGTCTCAAACAACACATTTATGTCTTTATATTAAAATATCACTGCCAATTTCTCTCATAGGCTTTAATAAAGTCACTGAAGAGAGAGCTGCTCACCGTTCCACCTCTAAACCTAGAGCGTGACAAATCCATATTCAGATGAATTTAAAATGGAAAAATATTATTTTGGAAGGTGACAAGTACACATGTGAAATATAATTTGACTCCATGTATACACACACACTCACACTGCCCTACCTGCTGTGTAATATTTAAGATGCTTCTCCCATTTGCACATTTGGAGGGCATGAATTTTAAAAATGAAAGAAGTAGGCACAACAAGCAACTTTGTGCAAGTCACAGATCACACAATTAACAGAATGGACCAGAAACCATGACACTGGAGAGGCTCATAATGCAACACTGTACTGTACAATACTTTGTTCTGTGTGCCATCTTTTTCAAAAAGCCTGTTCTAGAAACATTTCTGTGGGATGCAGCATTTCAGTATTTTTCCTCTCTGTTGATTCACACTTGCTTTTAATTTCCTGATGCTCCAGACACAGGTCTTAAAAAAAGCAGCCTATAGTGCACTGTCTTAAACATTGCTCTGTACTAAGCAAAACAAAGCTGTGGCTCCACAAAAGAGTTTGATGTTTACTAGTCTAAAAGCAGTTTGTTTTCTGAACAGCAACTTTTTGTATTTTTGTTAGAAAGAACACTGTTACCATTAGAATTTTCCTGCTAATCCATGCAGATTCTTAAATAAAGAGCTAAAACCTGACATATACTGAATTCCTTTTTGCTCTCATGCTTCACATTGAAAACATTTTCCAGCACTTACATTCAGATATTAACAAAACATTTCACACTGGTCAGTATCATGTAGGGAAGAGAAAGAAAAAGCAAATTCACACAAGAAAGCCAGACAAAGAGGAATCTTCATTTGCATCTAGGCAACATAATGTTCTCTCTGGACAGTGCTGGAACAGTGTGCACACTGTCTGGCTATCAATCTTACTTCCACAGCATTGTCCTCTTTATCTCAGTATTGCAGCAACCTATAAAAATGGTAACATTCCTAAATATCTGGAATATCTAATTAAGTGAAATGCACATGTCCATATAATTATGACATTACAAGGTAAATTAGCACACAAATGGCAAACATAGAACATTCAATACTTCATTTCTTCCAAGAGCTGCTTTTGAAATCCTTTACTTCACCTCAGAGGCACTGATTTACAACATGACTTAAGCTCTTCAGCACCCAACCTGCTTTTAAAAGCAAACCTTGGGCTGCAGAATGAGAAATTATCTGCACATTTCCCAATGTGTATGTTCCTCACCTACTTATCCCGTTATCCAATCAGGACAGTCTTTAGCTGTCTTTGCAGACTAAAGGTATTTTACTCATCAGTCTGATCAAGATAGGTGACTACTACAATATTTCTCTGTTACTTTTACCTGAGCAGCTACAATACTGAGTATATTACAGTATAGTACAGTATATTACTGTATATTACATACAGTACTGTGTAGATTGGCATACTAACTACTACATAACAGAAACTTACTGCTGTACCCGAAAGAACTCAACTGTACTTAGAGAACCTTGACTTGAAAGAGCATGAACAAAAGGGATCAAGAATTGTACCGCAGTACCACGTAATCTGTACCATTATCCCTTCTCACACACTGTCAAGGACACTGTTTCAAGCATGATATATTTTTGGTTAAAAAATAGCATCACTTAAAGAATCATTTTTAAATGAAACAAAACAATCACGAGTTTTTCTGAAAACAATTATGTCCTGAGCGGAATATTCATGCTCCTTACCATCCATTCAGATATTATCACATCCACTTTTTCCAAAGGCAGATCTACTTCTTCGACTCTTCCTTTGACTAATGTAATGATATTTTCAAGTTTATTTAATCTGCAAGTCACAACATCGATAAATTAGTTTATATTTCCAATTCATCCTGTCAAGAAAGATAGAATGATATCTATATATTTTGCCCTTCTCCCCTCAGTAACTTTTTTAACTCTTCTCGGTTATATTTCGGTGGGAATGATTCTGAGAAGCCAAAAATCTGCAGCAGGCTAAGTGCCAGGCAGAGATGGCAGACAGATGTGTATACCCCCAACGTGCTGTGCGTGCAAATGTGTAAGCTTCAAAAACCAGGATAATAGAGAAAAAGACAACTTCAAATTACACTTCTCTTCAGAGTTCCTTGTTCCCAGTTCTCCTTCTTTGACCCCTGTAGTCTATAGTAACTAGAGCCTACTCATCACACTAGGATAGCAATGGAAATTAACTTCCTTACAAAGGTGTTTTGCACAGCTTGTTTCTTTCATTCAAAACTAGCTGCAAAGTCACTGAGAACAAACATTCCCTCTACATCAGTATCACAGCTATTCCACAATAACGGCATCCTTCCCACTGTGGTTTTGGCCAAAATCATCTGCAATGTTTACTAACTGCAGTCATCAGGTATTACACCTCATATGCAAGTAACAGTACCATCATCCTGTGTAAAGAGGAAGGTACTGTGATATAACTACACCTTTTCAAACAAAAACTGCATGACAGTGAAATTACTACATATGTAAATGTCTGAAATATAGTATTTTTTTCTTGGCAAACCATATTAGTCTGTCTTGCACATACCGTTACCATGATAGCTATTCTTAGTGATGGCAGAGATGCATTTCCAGCCAAGAAATTTATTTTTCTATGTCAGTTCTTATCTCTGCCCCTTCCCTCCCTATCCTGATATCTTACTCTCACATTCTGTCTGGCTTTCAACAGAAAGTTGAATGTGCAGACCGGTAACCACATTAAAAATTCAATCTAGAAGACAATGGGAAAATAACCAAAATGAAGTGAGGCAAAGGAAAGGGTCAAAGGGCTATTTGAACACGTGGGCTATTGGAAAGATCAATTAAACACGCTACATGAGACAGTTTTCTGACAGAAGAGGAGCAGTTCATCACTAATATCATATTTAATGCAGTAAACAGAAGCACCAAGTGAGAAGTAAAATGCTAAAGAGCTATCCCCCACAACCATGTTTCAAGAAGGACAAAAAGAGATTCCAGGGTAACTTCCTAGATGACCACACACAAGGACGTAATTTAAAACAAAAGAGAGGAAACGAATTCATTCCATACTTGTTTTCAATCGTAAGGTATTAAAAAAGCCCTGAACAAACCTACGTAGTTTACACATTGCAGGAAAAACTGGTCAGATGCTATCTAGGAAGTAGAATTCAACTTTCTATTCTAGCGTAACAGTGATGAACAACAATAATCAACTCATTCACTGCGCTGGAAATTTTACGGGCAGCCATTCAAAGTAAGAAAAAGGCAAGCACTTAGTTACAGGTAAGTTTACTGTGTAACCTTGGGAAATAATCATGCCACTCAGGCACTTACTCCAGCTCACTTACAGACATGGGCTGCACTGTTTCTAGTCATGAACATGCTAAAAATGATCCTGAATTCTTGGAGGCACAAAAGCTCTTTTGAGCACACACTGGAATCACAGCTGGAAGTACAGTGCAATAGACAGTTTTAATCTACACAGTTGTGTAATATTCCAGTAAATATTTGTTACTCTGTTACAGGTTTGTCAGCTTTATTCCTTCAGGAAAAGGAGATTTAACAAAACAAATATAAATAATTTTGATATGAACAGAAGACTTTAATGTGAATTGAACCTTTTATAGCAGAAGGTATCTATCAAGGTGTACCTTACACTGATGGTTCACTGTGTACTTCAAGTGGCAATTCATCACTCTTAAGGGCTTAAGAGTTTTGATTTGTTGTTTTTCTTAAAGACCTGCCCTTCTCCTCACCAAGTGCAATACATGTTGGCTGACACTTCTATCCTCCTCCAAGTATAAATAACACATAAAGGACTTTCTGTGCACTTGTTTGAAGGAATGAACAATCCTAAGCTTGTCATCTAGTACATCAGAAATAAAAAACTATTTCACATTTGTGACCGTTCTAGAGATGTCAAGGATTCCTGAGAAAAATTCTCTTTAGAGAACAAGTTCTTGTGCCAAAACCATTTGAATTCAAGTTGCACCTAATGCTTAACATGGTACTTTTTTTAAACAGTATCCAAGCGTGGAGTGTTGCATCTCTACTGTGAAGTGGTATCTAACCCAAAAATTTTACCAAGACAACATTATTTGTGTACAACGTCAGCTTGGATAAAAACTGTCACTCCCAAGTTCTTCAGTATTTACCTGGACTTTCTTTTCCACAGTTGCTCTTACAATAACAGCCACAACAAAAAGTTCTACATGCCTCAGCTATCAACAGTACATATTTACACTTACCTTCCTCCTGTTTCATGCTAGGAAATCCTTTTTAAGTTTTCAGGTGTGACTGCTTCATTTTTACATATACTCACAGTCACCCCTAACATCCTCTATAGGCAAATAAGTGAAATTCAGAGTGAATACATGAACTAACAGATGGGAAGAAAGCTGCCTAGACCATGAGGATTACAAGAAGTGAGAGGAGTACAAAATTTAACTGGTAGCAAAGTACCAGAGGTGTCTCTCAGGGTTCAATGCTATTCTGACACCAATTAGCACTTTTACCAGTGACCTAATGGGACGGAATGCACGCTCAGCAAGTCTGTGGATCCTGCTGCATTAGCGGAGAGCACTTGATATGCTAGAGGGTAGGGCTGGTATTTAGAGGGAACTCAGACTGTAGATGAGGGCTGACAGGAACCTCGGAGATCCAAAGGCAAAGGTGCAGACCTGCACCTCAGTGGGAATAACACCGTGAAACAGTACAGATGGGTTCAGGCTGGTCAGAAATCAGCTCTGCTCACTGTTCCTGCTTTGACAAGGGGCCTGGTAAACAAGTTGAACATAAGTCAGCAGTGGACCCTGGTAGCAAAAGGAGTCTACTGTCATATATGCAGCATGTCAAGAAAAGTGAGCTTTCATCTCATTTTAACACTTGCAAAACTGCATCTGGAAGCAGAGGGGCCAGCTGCGGGCTCCAGAGCACAAGACAGACATTGACATACCAAAGCAAGTCCAGTAAAGGACACCAAGCTGATGGGAAGCCGGAGCACATGAGACACAGGGAGAAGCTGAGAGAACTGGCTTTGTTCAGCCTGAAGAAGGGATGGTTAAGGGCTGGCGTTCTGATGTCTGCCTCTGTCTAGGAGAAGAGTGAAGAGAAGACAGAGCTAACCTCTTTTATGACAGGGGCTGGATGAGAGGTAACAGACAGACTGAAACAATAGAAGTTGTGATTCGGCAGTTTAAAACAAAGAGCGAGGCTAGTCAGACGAGACACTTCCACAGAAGTTTAGACAGAACTTAAGTTGATCTGGGCCACCTACGGGCTTACTCTGACACAGAAGGATGGACCAGACACACTTCCCACGCTCCCCCAGGGCCTCTTCCACCCTCTACTACTCCAAGACAGTTTACACGGCACTCAACGTCTTTGACGGAAACAAACTTTTCTCAGTGACTCTGCAGGCTACGTGCATGTGTATGTGTGCATGCTCTTAGAATGGGTTTGCATTTAGTTGGGGTTTTTTTTTTTTGGTTGGTTGGTTTTCATAACTTTTTACAGTGTTATTTACCATCCTTTTCCTGGAACTTTTCCTACCTAATGATGTCCATGGCCTGATAGATGATTTCAGATTGGTCAACTCCAATCACTTTCTTTGCACCTGCCTTGGCGGCAAACATGGAGAGTATTCCAGTTCCACAGCCAACATCCAAAATCACCTGAAACAAACAAACAGAGGTAAAAATAAACACCTTACTTTGCTTGCTTGATTTTCCTACATATTTTTCTACATCAGTGAGATACCATACTCTAAAAGGAGAAGCAAAAGGTAGCATCAAGTCTTATTATTACATTCGAACTAGATGATCTTTAAGGTCCCTTCCAACCCAAACCATTCCACGATTGTATGATTCAGAGATATCCAAATCAAACTGCAGTTCTAACGCCACACCCTCCACTACCTTTTACAGACAGACAATGAAGCAAACTAGTTGCAGTTGCAGATTAATTCAGTCACATGGGAAACAACCACAAGCAGTTATCTGGGCAGTAACTGAAAAGTTACATGGACAGGAAAAAACAGGAAATTATAACTTGAGCAGTTTTAATCAGTGAATCACTAACAATCATCAGCATTCTTACTGTTAGACTTCTACTTAATATAGTTATACTTCACTAATGTTCTGAAACATGAAAATCAGTTTCCTGAACACAAAGTAGTCACTCATATTATGCATAGCATTCAAGCATTAACAGAATCAGAACTGTGAAGACAGACTTTTCCCATATAAAAGACCTAAACAAGACCTGACTAGAAGACTTCTAAGATGAAAACATTGAGTCAGAATTACTACTCATGAAAACAGTTCATTGGAAAACTTATTTCACTGCCTTTCCTTAGAGAGCATCTCCTTAGCACAGCATCCAGTAAAAGGTGTCCTCACAGCTTTCATTACATTAATTCTTTTTTTCCAAAGAACTCACCAAATCACTCCCACACTTGACAATTATAACCCCATTTTACAAAATACATCAATGCAGTAATACCCACTCCTGACAAACTTCCTAGCTTATGAGCTATTGAGCATTTACTTGCTTTGGCACAACAAAAACATGCATGTGCATTTTTAAATTCCACCTGGCAAATAATTTCTAAGTAAATAGTTGAAGGCTCTGCACACCAGGTCTCCTTAGCTTCCCTTGTGTATAAGTCTCTATGTTCTGACGCTGGAACAATGATTCTGAAGCCAACATGAATAAAAATAGCTGTTTATCCTTGGCAGCACAGTATAAGTAAGCTTCTGCATTGGTGTCCTGGGAAGCAATGACTGAAGAGTTGACCACCACCTGCCTTTACAGAGCAACTTACAATTTGGAATCAGACTAAAAAAGCATTACGATTTTTTCATAGCACCTTATGTAGGGCTAGCCGTGAAAGTTGTGGACAGAGTTATTTGTTCCACTTCGCAGCTACATTCCAATAGGATTCAATTTTACAACTCATTCACAAGTTACATGTGTGTACGTAATGGCTACAGAAATCCCTAGGCTGAAGTCTCCTGCAGCCAGGAATAGAAGGTAAAAATCCATGTGATTCAGCAGCTGCTGAAATCTCACGCCCCTTAGCATCATCTATTCTAACACTTTACCCATGGTAGTTAAAAAAATTGCTGAGCCATGAAAGCTGGAAATCAGAGCCAAATATAAACCTCTGTTAAAGAATGATCTTGATGTACAGTTGCATGAAGAGAGCAATCACCACAAATTGGAAGAAAACAAAAACAGACACCGCTTTGGACAGCTGCCCTGGTCACTCAAAAACCCAGATGGAACTCATCTGGCCTTAGGCAGGGGATAGGAGTGGAGAAAAAGGCACAGGAGAGAAAAAATGCAAGCTGGAACACATCTGAGGAACAGAAAGACAAGCAGAATAATCACTAATTAGCCTAAGAACAAGGGTCTATGGCTAACACATTCTTGCAGCGATCACATATGGCCTCTCACCAGAGATCTGGAGTAATCTGGACTGACCATTTGACTATACCATAACACACTACAGCACCACACCCTTCTCTGCTGTCTAACCGAAACTGATACTCTACTTTTAATAACAGGAAAAAATTATTTCAAATTCAGAAAAACAGGAGGTCAGGTATTTTCACCAATTAAATTAATTCCAGCAATCAAATTCTAGTACGAACAATGTACCAAAAAAAACTGTTTCCCCATCAATAGGGCATTGATGCCTGCCTAGACTTCTATTCTACAGCAAAAAATAAGCACAGCAATAGTGCTTTTCTAACCAACTCTTTTTCCACCAAAAAATACTCTTGCTTTAAAATGGATCACATTTCCTTTTACTGAGTAGGGCCACCTCAACCACTCCTGCTAGATAACCTGAACTGTCCTATTCTCATCTCAAAGTACATCTGACAGGTTGAAAATAAAGGCAGCAAGCAGGATTGACATTCAAGGTTTGATAATTGCTTTTGAAAACAGAGAACAAACTGGCTGGTTCTGAATAAAGTATGCACAATAAGCAGCCCTAGATATTCTGTTATGATCTGTTAACATGCAATTACACCTCTTTGAGATACTGCAGATTTGCATCCAAAGCTAGTATGACCAATGGAGCTCTTTGAACAAACTCTTCCCAACCCACCACACAAATGTCCTTTCAGAAAGACAAAAAGCATTGTTTTCTAGGGAGGAATACTATATGGAAGTTCTAGGAAATACAGTATCAGACTTTTCCTCACTTGTTTTTAATCGACACCAACTGTTAAGGGAAAACAGCCAATTTCCTCAAGTTGGAAACTTCACTCATTAATATAGTTCTGAGAGCATCATACAACACATAAATCATGCAAAACATCTTAACAGTTCCTTCAGAAGTCTGTAACAACTGCCACTTCAAAGCTCGAACTCTGAAAAAAAAATCCCATATATTCTCCATTACAGCGTATCAAGTTGGAGCAACTCCAGAGGAGGATATGAGGATGATCAGGGGCTGGAGCACCTCCTGTATGAGGACAGGCTGAGAAAGCTGAGGCTGTTCAACCTGGAGAAGAGAAGCTGTGTGAAGACCTCATAGGAGCCTTCCAGTGTATGAAAGGAGCCTATAAGGATGCTGGAGAGGGACTCTTCATCAGGGACTGCAGCAACAGGACAAGTGGTAAAGGGTTTAAGCTTAAACAGGGGAAGTTCAGGTTAGATATAAGGAAGAAGTTCTTCCCTGTGAGGGTGGTGAGGCACTGGAACAGGCTGCCCAAAGAAGTGGTAAATGCTCCATCCCTGGCAGTGTCCAAGGCCAGGTTGGACAGAGCCTTAGGCGACATGGTCTAGGGTGAGGCATCCCTGCCCATGGCAGGGGGTTGGAACTAGATGATCTTAAGAAATTAAATGGTCACTGGTCACCTAGATGGAAGCTGTTGGGACCTCAAAGCAATTAAGAGTCCTTCTTTTCATTCAACCTCAACACACTAATACATTACAAATTTGAGGTGATGTTGATCAGAAGAGCTGTAAAAACACCAAGTTCAGAAACCGGTTGCCATGGTTTCCCACACATTTCATGTAACTTAAGATCAGCCTCACACTGTAAAAGCCTGCGGTTACCAATTTTAGGGGCATTTGTGGAACTAAATTTCTCCCACAAAAGTCTTCTTTCCTTTATTGATCTTTCTGCTTTTTTGGATGAGCTGCCAACCTGTGCTGTCACCTGCATCTTTTAAGTAACTGACAGCATAATGATTTTCCCAACACTTTTGCTTGTTATCTCATTATAACTAAAGAGCTTAGAAATGTTTAGTAGAAACAGGCTTGTTACATGGATTGAAGCAAAAAAGGAAGAAAACTATTTTCCTTATATATTTCTGCTGGAATTGATGAAAGAAAACTGAGATAAGACAAAGAGCATGCACTATCTACCTATCCCATAGAAAGAGCATGCACTATCTTGAAATACCTCTCTCCTAGGACAAAAACATATCTAGCACTATTCCCAGCTGAGGAATTTTCATATGGGTGCACTTTTATTACTTCCACAACTACTCTGAAGCCTTATGACTTACTAACAAAGTCTCAAACACCACCAAAATAAAAATCAACAATGATTGCCTTCCATAAACTTAGACATCCTGGTTTCACATTAAGAAATATCCATATGCAGCTTAAGAATGGTAAGCACCAACTAGAGCAAAGCTAATCCAGAACAGAAGGCTGCTCACCACAACTCAAATCACAACAAACTCATCAGAAATAGCCAGCAGAAATACAGAAGTCAAAAGGATCATAACTGTGCAGGGATCTCAACCACAGTAAAATCATAAACAAACATCAGTGCAATCACTCCTCACTGCAAGTGAAATACTAGTTCCCGTTTCTAAGTCCCTTGACAATAACCTAGTCTGGAGAGACTCAAAAACACTAAGTAAATCAGTTGCATGTGAATTCCTCCCCAGTTCTAATTATACAGTGCTTCTAAAATATTTGTACTATATCAGGCACAAATTTGCGCTTTAATACTAGTAAAGGGGCCCTCTAAGGTAGATCCCACTTAATATACTGGACAAGAAAGGCTCCGCTTAACCCCACCAACATAATTAATGAACACCTTGACATGGCACACAGAGCAATGACAGTAGTGATCAGCAGTTGTGTTATCAGCACTTCGCACCCTCCAGCAGCTGAATAGCACTCTACCACCTCATAAAGCCAGAGGACATTAAATCAAACCTTGTCAGTGCGATATTCCATTCCCAAAGCTAAGAAGTAGCCAAACTGAAGGATTTCTACCACTTAAAAAGTAATAAAGAGCAGAAATTATTGTACTCTCAGAGCTATTCCACCTACCTTGTCCTTGAAGATATGTGGGTTCTGGTAGATGAAGTCACGATAGCTTTCTGTACGCACTTTATCCTATGATTTGAAGAACACAAAAGGGTTCACTTTTTCTACCTAGGTACAGCATGTTGTTCAAAAATGCTGAAAAACTTGCTTTTCAGCTTGGCCTAAAGCTGTGTTGTGGCTACTGTACTTATAAGGACTCTGCAATCACACTTCCCATAGAATTTTTTTCCAGAGTTTATTGTCTTTGCAAAGCAGCCAGCTGAGCCTCTGGGAGAAAAATAAGAAATTAGTTTGCAGTTTCCCAACCTGCTGTGTTTGATTTTGGATGTTTCAAAGTTCTTAATACCTCTCTACCACTTTCCAGGAAGAG